GAATTCTGGGAGTTGAAGTCCACACGTCTTAAAGTTCCCAAGGTTGAGAAACACTGATCTAGAAAGTAGCAAGGGCTTACAGGAGGAGACCCAACAGCCACCCAAAACTCAACCGGACCCAAAGTCAAGCTTGGCGTTCACACAACATGCCAGATGAGGCTCAAATGGGTCGAATAGGTTGGGATGCAACATAGTGTAAACACCCGACCCTCGTTGGTTTTCCAACACGTGGCGTGAACTGCTGTTGGAAGCCAGAACAGGGGTGTATTGCACGTCATGGGAACACAGCACTAGGCTGAAGGTTGGGTTGGGTCAACCCAGTCCCCGGGTCTTCAGTGCATCCTCCAAGCTGCAAAGTTGCATCTTCTCTCCAAGGACATCTATTCTAAGGAAGCCCAGAGATGGTGCTACTTTCACTTGGAAACTGAAATTCCTCAAATCTCTTCCTGTTTGTTGCTGGAGGTGCTGCAGCCAAACCAGAAAACCTCTATTTAACCCTGGCTTCCTCTTTCAACAGGGCTAGGGGTCAGGACACGACAGGATAATTTGCTTCCTCTTCTGCCTGAATCACGAAATGCTGTGTGCCAGATTGATTCCCGTCTCCTGATCATTCAAATCTGGCCGAGGCAAGGTTATTTAAGTATTAATTAATTATTCCATCACCTGGCAGAACCTATCCCTGGAAAAACCCATTTAATTCTCTCCGTGGGGTTTGTATATTTTAAAATCTATTTTTTTAAAATGTCCGATAATGCTTTTATTCTAATGATTTTATCTTTTTAAAATGCTTGTTTTTATTTACTTGTTATTTTATTTTCATTGTTGTACACCGCCCAGAGTCACTTGCGATGTGACTCTGCAATGTATAAATAAATAAATAAAATAAAAATAATTCACAGATATTTGCAATTCCACCAGAAGCCGCCTCTGAGCTCCTAAGTGGGAGACCCAGCCTTAAGGACTAGACTTCATTTTATTCATTTCTTGAACCTCACACTCCTTATCCAGGGGTCGTCCTAGGAAAGATTCCAGAAAAATTGCCCGCTTTATTTGGCTCCCCGACAACCCCCCCCCCGATTTCGACCTCACCTTTTCTCCAGCGCAACCACTAAATTCTCCTTTTGGGATCTGTTCTCCTCTCCCAGAGAGCTGCTTTGACAACTGGCCACTTCTCCGAACGGGGAACTGAGGTAGCTGCCCGCCAACGAGGGTGCCAGCGACGGAGGCCTTAAGAAAGACACACTGCCCCGTCCGCTGCTTTGGCTGGTCAAGCTGCCCCTCAGGAATTTCTCAGAGGGGGGGCCTGGTGGGAAACTGGCCGTGGGCAGTTTGTGTTTCTCGGGGGGCAGGAACTGGGAAGGCAGCTCGGGCGAGGGGAGGGCTGGGCAGGGCAGCTCGGCCTGGGGGCGATCCTGAAGGGGCTGGGATGGGGAGGAGGAGGAGGAGGAGGAGGAGGAGAACATCCAGAACCAAGGTCCTTGCTCCTTCGGTGGTGGGGTCTCCGCCTCAGAGCAGAGGTAAAGCGGGCAAGCCGGGGACCCTGGTAAGGGGGCCTTCACTGGACCCGTATCAGGATCCGGGAGCCTGAGGAGAGACGGGGCTGCAAGCTGATCCTGAATGGAGTGGGAATCAGGCTCCATGTCCATGTAGGCTGGACCCGCCACTTTGTCCTGGTCTGGCAAAGGCGGGCGCTTGGCGCTGCCCACAAGACCGGGCTCGTGGGAGACGGGCTCCAGCGATGGCGCCTCCTCCTTCTCATTGTCCTCTGGTGGCCAGTCGCCATCCACGTTCATCTCTTTGAAGAAGGGCATGCTCAGATACTGGAGGATCCCGCTTTGGGCAGAATTACTCGCACTGGCCTGGGAGCTCGGAGACCGAGGCGAAGCCTTCGACGTACGGCGTGGTGAGGAGGAAGGGGAAGAGGCCCCGGAGCCCGGAGGCCAGGGGGTATCCTGGAGAGCTCCGTACGGCACGGTGGCCAGTGGGCTGAGGTTGACGACACGCAAGGGCTGGGCCTCCTCCGTCAGGGTGCTGCTGCTGTGGTCAAAATAGCGGCCTTGGCGATGGCCAGACACCTGGGCCTGCCCGGGGTTCTTGGGCCTCAGGTGGACACTCCTCTGCCACACGGGCTCCTCGAGAGGAGAGAAGACTTGCAGATAGGGCTCCGGCGGGCCCTCGACGCTCTCCACAGACAGGCGGGAGACGGGTACCTGCTGCTCTTGTGACGCATCCTCGCTTTGCACCACGAAGCGGCCATCGGATCCTCGGGAGATGCGTTCGAGAGGAAGCGGCTCGCCCACGTGGCTCTCGTAGAGGACGTATTTGGCGCTGTTCGCCACATGGCCCCCCGAGATATCGAGACTGAGTTTACGGGCGGCTTTGTCTCCCCAGAAGAGGGTGCGGCGAAGGCTCTGATACGGAGAGCCCTGGAATTTCAGCTTCATAATGCTGTCTGGGCTAGCAGCACCTGCAGAATGCCTGGGGATGGGAGAGAAAGACCAGTTTGTCGGACTCACTGGTTCTTGCACCCGACCCCAACTTTGCTCAGCTAGGGCAACCTTCAGATGGATGGACTTCAACTCCCAGGATTCCCCAGCCAGCCTAGAGGTTGCTGAGAATTCTGGGAATAATCCAGAGGGTACTTTGGTTGGAGAAGGCTGCCTGAAGGTCATCAAGACGAACCCCAACGTCACATAGCCCTTCCAAAAACTGGATCCCCCAACAGAGAACAAGTCACCTACTAGACAGTGAGTAATAAGTGTGCTACCAAATCAACAGTGTTCAAATGAGAACAAACTCCGAACCGCCACGCCATCAAGCTACAACTCTCTCGCCGCTGCAAAAAGGGTCGTAAAATTGGGCACCACTCACTTAACCGCCCCATTTAAGAACGAATTTTCCGGTCCTGATTGTGGTCGTTAAGCAAGGACTACCTGGGCTTTCCAGCAGCTGGTTTGCAGAAACCCTGATAGCTTTTATCCTTTCGAAACCGGTCCAACCTTCTTGTGCTCTCAGCGTATCTAACCGTACCACCTACTCTCATGTCTGCCTTCTTCCTGGCCTTGCCAGGAGATGATGTGTCCCACCTTCAGCCTGAGAATTCTGGGAGGGGACATCCATGCATCTAATAGAGGTTCATTATGGAAAAGAATACCCCCCCATCACATCACAGCCCTCCCTGCAGCCTGTTTAGAAAAAAAAACAGTGGATAGAGGAAGGGGCTAGGGGAGGAACCAGGAAAGGGAGGGATTAGCTGATGCACTGGGGCAACTTACTGTGCGGGCAGAAGCTTCTTGGTGGAGGAAAACACAATTGGTAGATCTGGAAGGTCATGAGAACACAAAAGGGGAAAATCATCGGGAGAGGAACTCAAAACCAAGGAATTAATAAAATAATCTTGCAACGGGATGGACAGCTGCCACGCTACAACCCACAGCCAGACCCAGTGGCCCTGGGGCCACACCCTTTAACTATAGTCCCCAGATTCCTCAAGAACCACTGCTTCTCATCTTTCAAAAAAAAATTGATAAAATGCAGAAAAAAATAAGATAATGCCTGGTAAACCTATATGGGTTTGGGGCCAAGGAGGGACCCACCAAGACGCCAGGAGGCTTTTCCCACCACAGCCAAGGGCCTGCCCTGTCTCCTGCCACTATGTGAGCTGTGGCAAATGGTGAATTGAGTGTTTAGGGCCATGGAAGACAGCTGGGCCCCAACTCTTGCCTGACCTCTGGTGCCACCCTAGGAAATTCAGACCTTCTCCACTTGGGAGGGAAACATTAACTTCCATTCCAGGCACTCCAGGGCTCAGCGGTTCCCCTGCTCCAGTGCCAATGATCGTAGAAGCAGACATGGTGCTTTAGGAAGAATTGGTGATTCTATCTGGTGGGGTCAACAGCTGAACAAAGTCTCGGACTTTCAGTGTTTTGCTGAAACAACCTCCCTCCGCTATGGACTCCAAAGGTTACAGCTACAACTCTCTTCGTTGGAGCTCTCCATGGTCCTGAAGCGGCCAGCCTAAACTTTGCGGCATCTTATCAAGGCCACCTACCCTCCTGAATCTGGGACTACCCGGCAAAGTCGTTTTTTAATGAGATGGGCGGTGACAAATTTGATATATAAATAAAAAAAAATTTAAAATCCTAGAACAGAACTGACTGGGTGCCCTCTGATACTTTGAGGTCAAGTATCCCCAGTGCACTGATGAACTTGGGAGACCATTTCTGTGTGCAAAGCTTGTTATTACTTCTAGCTGAAGGGCTGGATTGACATAACATCCTGATGTATGCCTTGCTGGGATCCCCAGAAGGCTAGATTTACTGCGCCCAAGTTTGCAACTGTTTTGGAATGTGCTGGCTCTCCGGTGATTGCTTTGAGCTTCCTGGAGCTCTTCTGCCCAAGGGAAACCGAGGCGTGAGGCAGATACCATCTGTCCAGCATGCAGCAACAGAAAATGGGGCAGTCATATTGTTAACAACGTACTTCGACTGAAAAACAAAAGCCCCGGATTCTCTGCGCTAATTTCCTACCCGAGGAAGGGAATGAAAATGACTAGATTCTCTTGATCCCAAAGATCCATGTGATATGGCCAAACTCCTTTGCTCTGTCCATCAGATTTCAGAAGGGGCAGCCTGGTGACCCTCTGCCCACCATTACCTCTTCCTTGTCCTGGTCTGCTGCCACTTTTGTGATCACATAGCCGTCACGCTTTCAAGGGCTCAGCAGCCAGCCTACCTTGCCTGCGTTTGCGGAGACGGGCTGCTCTCCTCCGGTTCATGACACAAGCTGCCATGGTGCTGAAGATGACGGCCGTGCTGAGGAAGCAGACGCCGCCGATCACGCCAGCCAGCACAGGCTGGGGTAGGACCTCGGGGAGTTGGGTACGGGAAGGGTACACCTCCATTCCTGAGGGCGCAGAAGAAAAGCAAGAGCAATTAAAATGTAGCATTCACACAACACGCCAAGCTTGTTTAGCATTCATGGAGGCTTAATTATTGTCCAAACCCAGCCTGCCTACTTAGTGACCTGATAACTAAAATATGATGGGTTGTCGACGTTCTGTTTTTCTTGTTATAAACAGCTGAAAGTCAGTAAATTAGGATTCAATCTGCTACTGAATCAAAGATCCATCTAAGATAACCAGCCTGGGTCACACAACCAGGGGTAAACCACAGCTTGTTGAATAAGCTGCAGTTGGCTAGGTACAACTCACTTGCTCCAGCAGCCTGGTTTTTCCAAGGTATGCCCAAACAGGCAGGTTAAGAAAGCCACAGGGCTCGCTTGCTTGCCCCTTGCAAAATATCAGAGGTAAACTGCACCTGAACATGGAAGTTCTATGACAAAACTAGGATTAGAAGCAAAGCAACAGCAAAGCAGAGGATTGAAAGGGCTAATTATTGCTAACTAGGGAGCAGTAGGGAAAAAAATAAAGAGGAATAAACTTTCCTGAGCTAATCTAGTCAGAAACAGTTACTCCTGCTATTTCAACAGGCAGAAGAGGTTCTTCTGGATTGCAACCAAAGACAATTGAAACAGGCTGAATCACATCTCTGGTTAGTGGCAGGATTTACTGTGCCCTCCATATGCCACGTCTTGGACTTACCCATGGTTGAAACATTGACCACATTGCTGGGGTCACTGATGTAGCCACCGGCAAAGGCCACCAGGCGGAACTCATAGAAGGTGTCCTGTGTTGGGAGAGGGAAGGAGACAGCAAATGGACATTATGACCGTCCACCAAAACAGATCCGTCCCACCATGACAAGCGAGCAACAGACCGAGGCGTTATGCATACGGATAAAAATAAAATTTGGAGGAATAGGGCCAGCAGATAGCCCTTGATAAATAACTCACCTTTTGAGAGTCTATCCGTTCTCCCTCCCCAAAAATTGGACTGGGTTTTGCTTTTCAAATAAAGAGGACTAGAATCTTGGCTGCGCCTTCTTTTAAAAAGTGAACCTTGAGGTTCTCAGGCACCGAGGCAGTCACGCTGATGTTAGAACAGGCAACGCGCTACCCAGATCTGCCTGCCAGGCTTCTGGTGTTACCTTTTTTTTTTTAAAACACCCTTTTAATAAAGATATAATTAAATAGGACGCTGCAAATTCAGCACCAGCCTCCAGCACACTTATTAGCGAAAAGGCTTGCTGTAAATGGCTCTTCTGAAGGGACTCTGGGGATTAAGTGTATCCGCGGCACTGTTTTCCATAATTTTAGCATTTTACTTTTTTAGAATTGAACTGAAATGGTTATTCTAACGAATTATTACCCTGATGGCGTCTTTTTTTTATTATGGAAGTTCCAGAGTCTGGTTGGCTTCAGGTGGGGGACAGATTTTCATAAATGAATAGCAAATTTAAATAATAAAGATATTATTTCAATATATAACAAACGGTGTTGCAGGCCTGGCCACACCCACCCTAGAAGCCATTTTGTGAAGGCACCCTCTGCTGGCTCCCATCACCCTAAACCTGGCTCCTCCCTCCCAATTACTATCTTACACTTATGCTGAATAGTTTCCTTTTCTCCATGCAAGCCCACTTCTCTGGTTGAGAATTCTCCAGGGCTGTGCAAACCCCGGATCCTTTCCAAACGCACCTTGATGAGTCCAGGCACCAGGAACTGGGTCTCGGAGCTGGGAATGATTCCACTCAGGAATTCCCACCTTCCCTGATTCTGGCGCATCTCCAGGGAATATCCAGTCAAGGCGAAAGGGTCGTGGAGTGGAGGTTCCCACAGGAGGAGGACGCCCCGCGTGGTCTCATTGGATCTCAGGGATTGAGGTGGGGAAAGGAAGACCAGGGAGGCGGTGGTTGGAAGGACCGGGGGCACAGTCTGAGTTGGGAGCCCTGAAAGAGGAAGAGAAAGGAGGTTGTGTTGAGGAATGTAGATCTCTTTGGCCCTCCTAGTCCTCTTGCTTGACCTGACTTTTGCAAAAGTTATTTTTAAAAATAAAATACAGGTAGTCCTCGCTTAACAATCACAACTGCAACCGAAATTTAGGACACTAAGTGATGTGGTCTTTAAGTGAATCATCATGTGACTGGACCTGATTTTACTTTTTTGCGATGGTCGTTAAGTGAATCACTGTAGTTGTTAAGCGAATCATGCGGTTCCCCATTGATTTTGCTTGCTGGAAGCTGGCTGGGAAGGTTGCAAATGGTGATCATGTGACCCCGGGACGCTGCAACTGTTGTATGTGTGAGCCAGTTGCCAAGCGCCCAGATCACGATCATGCGACCATGGAGGTGTTGTGATGGTCGTAACTTCAGGCACTGGTGGTGAGTTACTTTTTAGCGCCGTCATAACTTTGAATGGTTGCTAAACAAATGTTCGTTAAGTGAGGACTACCTGTACTGCTGTGCTGGAAAGCCAAGCACCAGGTTCCCACATCGTTTGCATCTGGAGGAAAGCTTCCATGCCACACTGGAATGGTGTAGCACACGCTAGGAAGTTCCTTTGCTTTTTCGGCTATGCACCCCAAGAGGCAAGTTGACCACGTTGTGAGGGCACCCACCAGATGCTCTCACATTTTGAACGTGCTCCCAGCTCAGAAAGGTTGTGGTAAAGGAATGTAGAGCTGATTTTGGGGATAGGGGAGGAATGAGGGAGTGGTCAAGGGGGGGCCTGCAGAAAAGATTCCATGGTCCTGGGAAAGAAGCTCAGAGTAACCCTGCCTTGATTTTCTTTAGTATAAGAGGGGACAGAGAGAAACTTGGCAGCCCTTCAAGATTCTGTGATTCTACCTTACTGCAATAAAGGACGTTCCTGGATCCCTGTTGCACCTGTTTTTCGACACGGTCAACCTCGAAGGGCCGGCAGTTACCTACCCTTGGGCTATGCTGACCGGAAACCCAGGAATCAGAAGAAAAATAACCTCCCATCCAGACCAAGGCAACCGGGAACGGCTGCTCACCCAGAGGCATGGTGGAGATGATTTCGCTGAAAGGGCCGCTGCCGAGCTTGTTCTGGGCCAACACGCTGAACTGATAGCTCATGTCCGGCTGCAGGTTCTCCACGAGGATGTGGGAAGCCCCCACAGGCACTGGCAGCGAGGCCCAGTCGTGGTGGGGGCGGTTCAGGCGTCTCAATCTACAGTACAAAAACCATTTGCGTGAAAAAAACATGGAGAAACCAGAATCCCAGCTTAAAAAAGAGGAGTGAATCTCTGGTCCCCTTGGAAAGAAGACAGAAATGTAGATGAAGCTTTGGATGAAACCATCTGGAAAGTATTTTTAATACTGTCAGAAAGAGAGAGAGGGGGAAAAAAAGGAAACAGGCCGGCAGAGAAGCTCACAGAGAATGCCCTAAAGACCTACATTGGCGTGTACCAGATGCTGAATCTTTGGAAATAGCCGCCATCAAATCCTGGCTCCCAGGTTACATTAACGGCCTGTTGCAGAGGCCACACAGAGACATTGGCCACGGCGTGGGGGCTGGTGCCTGGCGGGGGGAGAAGGGAAACTGCATCAGTTTAACTCGATTCAACGGAAGGACACCAATAAAGAGATTTAGGGTTGCTCAAAGGCAAGGGATTTCATCGAACAGGATTTGGGGAATGATATAACTCCCTCCAAGTCACAATGAACTCTAGAACGAGCGTCCTGTGCTTTGTTTGGACCAGGGTGGACGTTAGGAGAAAAGACGTACCTATTTAAGGTGTTCGCCGAACGTGACGCTCCCTCGCAAGAGGTGCCATTGGCGCGTCTTCAAACCCAAACGCTTTTCAATAGGCTTCCAGGCTGTTAGGGAAGTTGACTGCCCTGCCCTCTGAGTTAAGAACTCACCCAACACGTAGACTGCGGTGGCGGCACTGACCCTGGCCACACCGTTGTTGGCGGTGCATTCCCACGAGCCGTGCTGCTCCTTTGTCAGGGGCCGCAGGACCAGGCTGCTGTTCCTGTCCACCTGAGCGTTGACCAGGGTCTTGCTACCCGTCTGTACAGCAGGGAACCAACCAAAACAATCTGATTAGGTTACGTATACCGGGGGGGTCTGCATAAAAAACAGTCTAGCTGGTGGCCACCACCACGAGATCAAACCCCCACCCAGTTTTACATGGGTCACCTAATACATAAAAAAGGGCGTTGCAATGTCTGCCGTCTGGAACAAGGTCCCCCCCAAGATCCAGATGGCCCCCACTCTGCTGGTGCTCAGAAGAGCCGTGAAGACCTGGATCTTCACCCAGGACTTCAGTGAGGGAGGAGACCCCTTGCTTCATCACAGTTGTCATTCTTTACTTTTTACGTTTTATTGATATTATTGTAATTTCGTTGATTGCTGTGAACTTCCCAGAGCCGTTGAGAGTCGGGCGGCGTGCAAGCTTAACAAATAAATAAATAAATAATTGTGGTGGCCGCCATCTTGACTTGTTTGACTCCCCGCCCCCGTGGACACCTTTGGCAGACACAGTATATTTTTATATTGTGGTTTGAGAGTCAAAGGTCACCTGGGTAGGGGTCTATGCAACAGACAGTATTAAAATGTGATTTTAAAAAATGCAGCTATTGAGTCTCCAGAAATAGCCCGACTTTTGCAAAGAGGCCATGATTTACTTTTGTCCAAGAGATGATGGGTAAAGGGTCCCCTTGGGCAACGCATGGAATTAGCAACTCCCGACCCACTTCCTGGAAATATTCTTCTTTGGGCTGCAGGGTGAACGCGGGAGGATCCTGGAAAACGAAACACAAGAGAAATCCCACAAGGGTTAAGAGCAGAACAGCAGCCTAAAACTGCCGATAAAAGGCCAAGTGGGAGTTGTTAAGCAGGATGGAAGAAGTTTTTAAACCAGCTTAAGAATCACTAATCATCACACGTGCAACACAACCCAAGCTATTCTAAGCCTGCCAAATTCAACATTACAAGTAGTCCTCGTTTAGCGACCATTTGCTGTTACGACGGTGATGAAAACGTAACTAGGCAACCAATCCTCGCACTGACAACCTTTGCAGGTCTGTAAAGCAAAGGAAAGTCGAAGTAAGATCATAAACACAGTTGCGGTTTCACTTACCAACCGCTTCGCTTAACAACCAAGTTGCCGGGCCCAATTGTGATCGCTAAATGTGGACAACCTGTATTTTTTTTTTAAAAAAAGTTAAAAATAATTTTATTCTGGTGAGGTTGCCAAACCTCTTAAAAATCTGCCATTACTATCCTTGAAACCACATGAGATTTGAGGATTTTGTGAGACTCAGAACATTTGGAGTCTTTGTGCGTATCTTCTGTCTCAAGAGATGGGGCCTCTGCCCTGGGGGACAAGAGCCAGTGTGACGTGTGACCCAGCAAAGAATAGAAGTCTTTAACACTGATTATGAAGGCAAATTAAGGGAAGAGTGTCATGGAACCTCCAGGTCAAGTGGCACTCTACCTTCACATAACAGGAGCAAAGGCAATTAATTGCCTTCTCTCCCTGCCTGCTGGGAAGCGTCATCTGACAATGGCGGCGGTCAAGGATGGGGAGACAGGAAGCGGTAGAAACATGCAGTAATTAAGGGTCCTGCTAAATTATTTGCAAAGGATTCACAGCATCAATGGTGAAGATGATAGTATTATAAAGCAGCATATCTGGCAGTTTTGGGGTGGGGAGAGAAAGATGTTGGCCCACCTCCTTATTCTCTTAATATTTAATAATTGGCTTTATTCTGAACTTTTATACCCCCCTCTTCAAAACCTACATTTCTCCCAAGGCAGGATTAAAAAACATTTAAAAGCAACCACCTAAATATGGCTCAGAAAAAATGAAGAGACACTTGTGAAACGTCACAGGAAAACAACCGACGTATTAAACATCTTGGACAGTGTTTCTCAACCTTGGCGACTTGAAGACGGGTGGACTTCAACTCCCAGAATTGAAG